CGAAAGGAGACAGTGACAGGGGACAGTGAATAGGGCCAATAACATGGCAGCGAAAGGAGACAGTGACAGGGGACAGTGAATGGGGCCAGTAACATGGCAGCGAAAGGGGACAGTGACAGGGGACAGTGAATGGGGAGAACGGGACACAGGGCACATGAAATCTATTGTTCCCATCTCTGAATTCTCTCATCTCTTGCAGTGAGCAACCATATGTCAGAGTGTCTGAAGGCCACCAGGTGGCCACGTCACACACTGCCACTTTGGTCTGGGAACTCCCTCCAGAGCTGGTAAGGGACCAGAATCGAAGACACTCACAGGCTGGATGTAACCAAGCCAGGGCTGAATGTGACTGTTGCAGATGGACCAGGATATGTACAAGCAGAAAGCCTCTCCAACACAGGAGACCTGCTTATGTACCGCGATATTCACGCCACTCAGCCAACCATATCGCTTAAAGGGCGCAAGGTTCCAGCTCCGATTTCAGCCAATTGCGGAGCCAGAACCGGCTGAGTCATGCACATTTTTTTGCCTGTATTTTGTCACCTGTTTCAATGTGACGACATCACCGCCCCCAGACAATGAGAGGAATGTGACGTGATCTTTTTTTACATGGGGATTGACTACTGGGGGGTGGGATGTGGGCGTGTCTCGGTTCTGACCCGAGCGAGTCATCTGGGAGGGTGAGGCGGGGAAGGGGGTGGGGCCTTCAGCAGGAGGCGGGCCCTCAGGCGCTCAGGTAGGCAGATTGAGGTTGAGCGTCTCCGCCTGCAGGCTGGACATGCGGATCTGCGAGCTGCTCTTGCTCAGGATGGACAGCTGCGTCCCCCCGTTGACCCCACTGCTCGCCAGCGACGGCTGCCTCTGCTTCAGGTCCACAGCAAAGTACCGGTTCACCGTCCAGCTCCTCCATTTCCTCTTGATCTCCGATTGCACCTTTAGGCAGAAACTTGAAGACGTCATTTTTAATGTACTTAGCTGTAAAGGCTCACGTTTTAGGTTATTCTTCAATTCTCTTTAAAACTGGCAGCTAGCAAAACCGCTAATGAACAGCTCGTTACTAAAAAACAAAATACTGTCAGACGGAGCTTTAATGTGATGGGGAAAAGGCGCTATATCGCATAAGTCTCCTATTCAGCCAAAGACGTGATGACATAAAGAAGAAACGGGCAAAGTGACACTGAAACAGGAAGTGACATTGAAACAGGAAGTGACATTGAAACTGGAAGCATGACAGCACCTCATTACACAGGCAAGCAACCAGCACTTTGATTTAATTACTCATTATTACTTCTGACAGGCGTAACCTTTAAATGAATGGAGGCATACATCTTCGACCATTTCCCCGTTAAAGTCACAGAAACTATAATCTCTTTCCAGTAATGAGAGCCAGACTATGATCATGCATAGCGGGTTCTCTCTCCTAACATGTCACTCACAAGCACACAGAAAGGCGCCGGATGAAAACGACTCACCTCTCCGTTTAAGAAACAGTACAGGACTGCCACCACGAAGCCCTGAAGGCACACAAAGTAACGTGGTTATGGCCTGCCCCATCATTCTCCTCCCATGGTTGTCCTCTAGCTCTCACCCATTAGGCTTAAACCAGCCTCCAGTTAACAACATGATTTCTTTTTGGGTCTGACACCAGATCAGCTCTTGTTCTGCTTCTCCTCCCTGACAGAGCAAACAGTCAGTTTCGTTTTCTGGAATCTGGGACTGGAATCTGCAAAACTAACTACCGTAAATTCACAAACCTGTCTGAGACATAAAACACAAAAGCAATCATACCAGTATGGGAGAACTTAAAAAAAAATAACGGAACAACAGCACGGCCAAGTGGCAGACTAAGGTACTGCCGCAAATATTTGTTATTTTCTAATGATCTATTTGTAAATATGTTACATTACTTTGAAACTCATTTCTTTGCCACAATCAGCACAGCACAGTACAAAATTATTCCTACACTCACATCAAGAAAGTGCCGAATCGATCACCGAACACAAACCTGGAAGGATCCAAGGCCCAGTTCGAACACCAGCCTCTCCCGTTTGCTGACGTCCTCCGGGGAAAAGGCGAAGACGGTGTAGTGGATGCCAAAGAGCGGGATGAGGAGCAGGGTGGAGCGGGCCAGCCTCCTGCCAGTCACATGACAGGGAGAGCGGCGTAAGGACTCTGAATAACAGGCCGCGGAAACACTAGAGCTAGAAAAGAGGGCATATGACCAGACTGAAGACGAGTCATCGCTGTGGCATTCTGGTTAGATACGATTACAGAAACATTAGAAGGAAAGTTGTTACTGTATCCGCGGTAAAACAGCTGGGAATGGCTACAAGTCTGACTATGTAGCCGTCAGTATTACTGAAACAACTCGTTTGTCACACAGGGTGAGAAATCCATCCATCCATCATTCAATTGCTTATCCTAGTAAGGATCACAGAGGGGCCTGGAGCCTATCCCAAGTGGTATAGGGCTCAAGAGAGGGGTCACCTTGGACGGGATGCCAGTCCATCGCAGGGCAAACACACAGATGCCCAATCACGTTGGTGGGAGATTTTACTTGAGAGCAGGTTTAGAAAGGGATAGGAAAATGCAACAAAACATCTGAAAGCAGGTTCACCACCCAGCCACAAGAATTCAGAAGTGAGGAGAGGTGAGATGGCAATGAGGAATGTGGTCTTACACATGAGTCATGTTAGTACATCTGCTAGCTTCATTGTTAATGTCAATGAATCACCACCTCATGGATCTTGAGTGATTCTTCATTGCATTGACCATTGAGAAAGGGACTGCTTTTCTGCATCAGTTTCATACCCCTCCGATCTGCGGGATTGTGACTTATATGGGACAAGCAAAACCACCCCCAGATATGAAGTTGTCCTTGAGCGTCCCCTGGTGGACGCTAATGGTAGTGTGAAACGGTCATGCCTGAAATGAGCCCCTCCGACTTCGGCTCCACTTACAGCGTGATGGCGGATAGCTGTGACATCTTGCGCGACTGATGGGTGTCGTGCGCGGCCTGACAGAGGCATTTCTGTACGCAGCTGCTGGACACGACAGAGCCGATAGCGCTTTAGTGTCACAAACGTCACATGGGCCACCACTGACAGGTTTAGGAGAAAGAAAGGGGCAAAGGCATGGAAAATGGAGACACTGACACGCGGGGGAGGGCAGGGCAAGCGAGTTCTCAGCCAATTGCTTTACAGCCATGTGACAGCCATGTGACACATAGCTAAAACAATCCAACAAAACCAAGCCAGTTTATGGTCACTTCACAGCCAACGGTGAATATGATAGCATGTAGCATGAGGAAGACCATCAAGCACAAATCAGCCAATGGCAAGATGGCACCACTCGTTTAAGATCTTCATATATGTGATGCTTTTATCCATGGCGACTTAGAGTAGAGGGATGAATTACGTTTATGTGTGCTCCCTGGAACTGAACTCACAACCTTGGAGCTATTAACTAGTGACCAAACAAAGCTTGATGAACCATTTGCTGTGTTTTTTTACCCCACTAGATGGTGCTGTGCGCAAAAACAGGGCTGAAAGCATGCAAACCAAGAGCACCATCTAGTGGGGTCAAAAATACAGCAAGTGGTTCATAAAGCTTCATTTAGCCATCACTACTTTTAACACAATGCTCTACTTGTTGAGATATAAGAGATTTTGGCTATTCTGCTGTTATTTGGAGGGAGTAATAAAGGATATTACTGAAAGACACTACATTCCCTTAACTTTCATTCAGTTGGTATTTTCTGTATCAAACCAAAACAAATAGGCCCAATCCAGATAAACTATCAAGGCACCAGACTCATAACACAATCCTTTCCTGCGCTTATTTGCCCAAATTAGCTTCCAGGCAGCTAAGTCAACATCCGCGTCATACAAGATTGGTCTTCCATTTAAGACTACTCAAGAGCAGCTAATTATTTTGCGTTTTAGGAAAATTATCCGTAAGATCAGCTAAAAGATCATGGCATTACAAAAAAAGCACATATTGTGGCTTCGTTAAAAAGTTGTTTTCACTTCCGTAGCATGATAAATGTAATTATTTACTGCTTTAAATGTAATTTAAATGTAATTAATTACTGCTTTAAATTTAATTTAAATGTAATTAATTACTACTTTAAATGTAATTAATTACTACTTTAAATGTAATTTAAATGTAATTAATTACTGCTCAGGTATGGTACTGGGCAGACATAACTGACATTCCCACAAATCTTGTTGGGCCATCTGTGTTCTGGTCCTATAAATGAGTTTGGAGATGGAGCAATGCAGTAAAAACTGTCACCCCTAGTACCTCTTAACATAATAATAATACTAATAATGATAATAATAATAATAAATTTTAGATGGCTGATGATTTTACATTTACTACATTGCCAAATCATAGATAGATAGATAGATAGATAGATAGATAGATAGATAGATGGATGGATGGATGGATGGATGCAATGGTCACAATGTGGGAGCGTGGTATGTCCAGATTAAGACAAACAAGTTGAGCAAAAAGTTCAGCAAGCATGTCATTTTAAAAGTTTTTTCTTTTTTAAAGCCATAGTGTAAAATAAACCCACACCGTGCTTTTGGAGTATTAGGTTGTGCAAAGGAAAAACCTTTAAAACTTCACATGCGTGCCTGAGGCGAGGAAGCCACTCCGGCCTTTCTTTGGGCGATGATGTAAACACGACGGCGGGACGAAAATGGCAGGAGGAGGAAGGCGGCGCTGTACACGTGTCCAAGCAGAATGAGGAGGGCTCTGTTTAAATGGACAGGCGCCGCTCTCCTAAAACCAGGTCCGGCTCGGCTTGGTTTTATGGAAACGCTCTGCTGCATCCACGCTGGGATGCCTGTAGCCACATGGAAGGACTTACAGATAGATGCTGGACTCGTTGCCGCCGATATCTGGTGACTGCAGCTTTTGAACCAGGATTATTATAATTCCGATAAAGAGAACAAAATTAATCTGCAGAGAGGGACAGAGAGAGACACACCATTGCTGTCTGGCAAAATGTGAATATATAAGATTGCATAATGAAATCATTTAGCACTGATCCGACACGCGTCCAGCGGCTGGTCTGCTGCCAGTCATTGCTGTCTGCTCACCATGATCGACGCTACCACAGGTCCCTTGATCACCCACCAGAGGGCAGTGTTGTCATTCATGTCCCAGCAGCTATAAACACAGTCCTTTATGTTACACCAAAGGTATCCATGGCAACTACAAATACTGCTATAAACTAAATCTTACTTTATCTAAACCAACGCTCAATACATGCCTAACAGGGGCCTAACAATGAAATCCCTCTGCCAACCCAGGGATTTGTGCCAGCAACCTTCATGTCATAAGCATCCCAACCCACAAAGGTCACTGAATCACTTCCAGGTGAGTATCATGCTTAATGTCTTAACCAAAGTGCCCTCCGGATTGTGTTTTTCTTGGTGGTACTGTACTGAAACCCATGTGTGGCACTTACCCCGTGTCGTCAAAGTGAAGTCTTAGCCCAGCCCAGATGGTAACACAAACAGTGGGAGTTCCTGAGCAGGAGAAACGAACAGGCAACATTAATCACACCAAAAGTCACTGGGTCTGAAATGACCCAAACTGTACTGTTTACAGTCCTACCCCATCCAATCAGAATGCCTATCAGCCCTATCTCAACCAATAAGGGTGACCTACCCCATCCAATCAGAGTGCCTATCAGCCCCAACTCAACCAATGAGGGTGACCTACCCCATCCAATCAGAGTGCCTATCAGCCCCAACTCAACCAATGAGGGTGACCTACCCCATCCAATCAGTGTGTACCAGTAGAAATATCTCCTCTCAGGGAAGAATGTCTCCACCAGCAGGGTGAAGAGGTATAGTCCCTCGATAAACAGCCAGAAGTAGTTGGACATGACGCAGTAGTGGAAGAACACCATCACAGCCTTACAAGCCACCTGACGAGACGAACCACAAGCAACAGTCATTCACTGGAACATTCCATCATCTGCCTGTCGTTACTCAACTCCCCACAGGGGGCAGCACTTAAACTCTCTCGTTACCCATCTTCGTCATATAGATACCACAACCTCTGTAGACTCTTTACAGGCTATAGGTTATAAATTATGTATATTAATAAACAAATATTACTGACATTATGTGCAGAGATGAGAAAAATAAGGCTGGCCCCAGTGGAGTGGGAATAATATAGGCTATCAGTCACCAAAGAGTCTAACCTGTGCTGAATGGGTCCTTCACGATTACTATGGCAACAACATCGACAACCCCATTATGACCAGATGATGAATTTATGCAGCGCTCATAGCGCGTAGGAGGCAGAGCATGTCTGTAACTCACAGGGTGCACGAAGCAGTGGTTACTGTCCTCTTCTGCGTACAGCACACCATCCTTGATGAACACAGATATAGCTCGCAGAATGAAAGACACAAACAAGTTCATGTGGATAAAATTTCTGGTGCAGTGCAGTTTCCTTGGTTGGAAATATATAAAAAAAAAGAAAAAAGAGAAAAGGATAAGTGTTGCTGAGCTCCCGTGACGCACTCCCAGCCTGCGTTACTGCCTTATTAAATAATGCCTTCATTCTCTTCCTGCTGAGAACCTTTACTATTCAGAGCACTTCCTCCTTGCTGCCTATAGGGGGCAGCACAGGCACACAAAATAAACCAAGGCGGCCGTCTACCTGAACCTGCAGAGGATGACCATGGCAGTGGTAAGGGACACCAGCGAGGTACTGTAACCTACAGTGTACAGGGCCTTGACCGACGCGAAGTACGTGTCCTGCAGGAGGGCAATTTGCAGAGAAGGAAGGGAAGTGTTAATGTAAAGAAGAGGGCGTTTCACACGAGTGGCCGGCAGTGGCACTGCGGGGGTGGCAGGTGGCGCTCTCACAGGCTTGGTGGTGTTCTCGTCAAACAGGCAGGCATCGATGTAGTGGGGGAATACCTCAGACCAGCCGTCCTCTGTGCAGTTCCTGCTGATCTTCCCCAGCTCTGGAATAGCAATGACGGGAAACAGCACGCTTTCAAACACGAGCACATGGAACGTGCATGCAGACAGAGGAACATGCAGAGGAACATGCATTACAAAAGCACCCTGAGCCTACAGATGAACAAAAAGTACGTACGAGTGGATGACCCTGCACAGACACGCAGAAACACAGCCCACATCATTACAAACAGGCAGTGTCAAAGATAGCTATATCCATCTCATGTAACCTCCCTCACCTTACAAACACACACACACACACTTGAAGCTCCTGAAAGATGCAAATGACTCAAACATGTCATTGGGAAGAAGCACACCATCATCAGGGCTCATGAACTCAAACAGCTCTGGACAGTTCACCACCACGACCTCTCCAACCTCTGCGGCCTGCCAACACGTCAGATTATCCCACATCCACGGACAGCCTGAAAAAAAAAAAAACAAACATAGAGATGCATTTCCTCGCCAGGAGGGGGCGCTACAGATTAAAGCACACTATTCTCCCTGAGCATAAGTTTATTTATGCGCTTAAACGAAAATGACAATAGACAACAGATGCTCGCTGAACATTTCAGGCTGCTCTCTCCAGGTTTTGGCCACATTTATGCAATACTGACAATAATAAAACAGCATCAACAGGCAGAAGATACTCTGGCCCATGTGCCACCTCAGTTAGGCAGACAGCATCTCTTCCCCATGATCCTCTTTGTTAGACGACAAAAGAACAACCCACTTCCTCGGACAACCGTAGGCCATTTAATTATAAGGCATTATGTGTCTGTAACACCCATGCTAAATTATGTTTTTTTAACACAGAAGGTTAAGCACCATTCTCAGAGGCTCAACAACAGCAACCCTCCTGGGAAGGGAACCTTCTGCTTATAGATTAATGGTCTTCAAACCACAGTTTATGAGGAAGATAAAAAAATATATATATATTTACAAATGTTCCGAGTGGCTCCAGTGATTTCTACCGTAGCTTGTAGTTTTTGCGGGAAAATGGGTCTCAGATTTCCCACATATGAGATGGTAGCTGTGAGCTGGAATGTTCAGCTGGGGCTCAGGGGAACATAAAGGAGGAGAGCCGGAGAACCGAAGCCGCCCTGGGACTAAGTGGCACAAATTCACGACATTCACAATTGTGCCAAAGAAGTCATGTTAATGGAAAAAAAAAATGCAACTGCAAAAACTTTTAGCCACTGGCTAACAAGCTAACCTTGCCAAGAAAATCTGCTAATAAAGTCTTGCGGGTAATTCACAAACCAATACCAGCATTATGGCCACAACTAAGCGGATTCACTGACTTGAGAGGAGAAATGGTGCCCGAGTCTTGCGTCAAGCCCAGGACTGCTGCCCGCGCAGAGGCGGCGGGGTGGATGGGTCTCTGAGGGCCTGACTGTCCTACAGGCCGTCTGCCAGTTGACTACTGATCTCCAACAGTGAAAAAAAACACAAGGCTGGCTGCTGATGAGCAAAATGCTGGCGGATGCAATTAGGAGCGACTGTCGGTGGGCTGTCCCTGGTGCCATAGCGCCACCTGGAGGTCAGTCCAGATAAGATCCGTATCACTCCTATAATTATAAGATTCCTCTTGGCACATCCTCCTCTTTCATCCTCCCTTTCTTCTTTTCCTTTGGTCCTTTCTTTCCACTGTTCACCTCTCTGCGCTCTGTCCATCCAGGTCGTGCATAATACCACAGAACACAGTACACCTCACTATAGACCGAACACCTAACCTTCAGTTCATCACATGACCCTTTCTGACCGTACGCCACAGGTACCACAGTTTAAATGGACTTCATATTCGCTCACTTACATTTCGCCCAGACTACCTTAAATCCGACAAGTTACCCCGATAAGCCAGTAACCCCGCTTCGTAGTACAGGCCCCAGATCTGGGAGCGATTATTTTTTCCGAGCGTACAGATAATATTCTCATGACACGATGGTTCGTGCCCCGGCGAGGTAATTTTGCCAAAAGAAAAACAAACAGCCTGTAACATAATAATCAGGAAGAGTCCTGTGATGAAAGGTCAAGGATGTGCGTGATGCAGAGACAGGGGTCTCTCTGAAGTCAGTATGGACAGCGTGTCGAGTGTGCAGACGTGGAAGAGGGCGGACAGATCCTTTAACGACCCGCTCAATAGGGGTCATGTGACACAATCACGTGACATCTTCTCATTGTTTGCCTTGTTCCTACTTCTTCAGCTTTCCCACGAGGGAAAGAGAGAAGAAGGGAAAAGCACCAGTGACATGTCGAAGGGAAGGGGTTTAAAACGCAGAAGCTCCCCCCCACCCCCCAATGTTAAAAAGTTGATTTCCTCCTGATACTGAGGTTGGGACGTGCAGACATGCCAGAAGCCGACCACCGCCTGTGGAATGTCACCTAAAGAACTTTTACCAGAACATTCCATGCCACGATAGTAACGTGAAAACACAAGGGGCTCGGCTTGGGAAGGGATGGGGGGTGGGGCTCCCAGGCACGGGGTCACAGTGCGAGGCCCAATTAATGTGGTATGCATGAAACAAGACCCCGTCTGAAGGACCCCCCCCCCGTGAATCAGAGAGCCTGGGAGCCGTGACGGGGGACATTGCTTCTGTGTCTGTCCGTGTGTGTGTGTGTGTGTGTGTGTGTGTGTGTGTGGATTATGTATATATTACACTGTGGGAACCAGCTGTTCCCCACAATGTGATAAAAACTTGTTATTTTGATGTTATGGGGACCATTTTTCAGGTCCCCACAAAGATCTGTGAATGCAATCTAATTCAAACTAAAAATGCCAAAAGTCTGATATTTTGTTTGGTTACTTACAGTTAAGGTTAGGGTTGAGTAGGGGTAAAGGTCATGATGTTGGGCTTGCTGATCTTCCCCAGAGTTCCCACAAAGATATAACTACAAACCTGTGTGTGTGTACGTGTGTGTCTGTCTGTCTATGTATATATCTTTGTTTAAACATGGACATTTTTGTGTGCATCCCTCTTTCAATGCATGCAATTAGGCTAACAACTCTTTACATAAGTGTGTGTGTGTGTGTGTGTGGATTAGGTTTATATTACCTTATGGGGACCAAATCTCCCCACAATATAATAAAAACCTGTTATTTTGACATTGTGGGGACCATTTTTCAGGTCCCCACAAAGGTCTGTGAATGCAATCAAAAATTTAGTTTGGTTACTTATGGTTAATGTTACGGCTGGGTAGGGGTTAAGGTCGTCATGTTGGGATTAGAGTTTTCCCCATAGAAATTAATGGAGAGTCCCCACAAAGATATAATTACAAACCTGTGTGTGTGTGTGTGTGTGCGTGTGTGTGTGTGTGCGTGCATGTATCTTTGTGTAAATGTGTCTGTGTATCCCCATTTAACCTGATATTCTCTCTTTTACCAAAGCATTCAGCTGTCCTTCATGAAACAAATATAATTACCAGAATACTAAAATTAATACTCTAATCCCTATACTATGCTACACTATACTACAAATTACTGTACAGACATAGCTCAGTAGTTAGTTTTCACTGGGGGGGGGGGGGGTTCATTTTGGCAGGTTGCAGAACCACAGTGCGTGAACAGGAAAAAGGCAGAGATGTGACAGAGGGATGCAGCGATCGTGGGTGTTAAGGCACTTCACAACCACGTGTGAAAGCTTAGGGACTGTCTGCATTTTCACTATTACATTCACTTGGTGAAAGGGCTGCAGGGAGAAATCGGTTTTTGCAGAGAGTTTCTCTCTGGAAATGCTGCTGTGGAAATTTTCAGGCTGTGTCAGCAGACGCGGGCGACGCGCTGGAAGCCTGGGTGCACTTTTTAACGTGGCGTGGAAGCTCACGTGCCAACAGAGAGAAAATGAGGGACCGCTGATGTGTCATCAGTAAACATGGAAATTACCCACAAATTCTGCTGCAAATAGAGGGGCACAGAATAGCATATGTGAGACTGGTCCCCTATAAGGTTTAAAAAAAAAAAAAAACAGGTATTTATCACGTTGTGGGGACATTTGGTCCGCACAAGGTAAGGTAAACCTGGACCACACACACACACACACACACACACACACACACACATCAGTGCACACAGACACACACATGACCGGTGAGCAGATCCTACCCAGCCTGTGGTCTTCAGAAGTCTCCTCTCTTGCCATCTTCTCCATGCACTTCTCATGTTCCCTTTTAATCACGCAGTCAGAGTGATCAGAACGTACCACAGAACCCTGCAGCGAGGGGACATAGTTACACAGGGCAGGGGACAGGATACACAGGACAGGGAGCAGGATACACAGGACATGGAACATGATATACAGGGCAGGGGACAGGATACACAGGGCAGGGAGCAGGATACACAGGACATGAAACATGATATATAGGGCAGGGGACAGGATACACAGGGCAGGGAGCAGGATACACGGGATATGGAACATGATACACAGGGCAGGGGACAGGATATACAGGGCAGGGGACAGGATACACCAGGCAAGGACACAGTCACAAGGACAGAGATGCAGTTACAGAGGGCAGGGACCCAGTGACACTGGACAGAGGATTGCATACACAGTCCCACAGGACTGGGACACAGTCACAGAAGGTAGCGGACAGAGTTGCAGGCACAGCACATTTACAACACGATTATCAAAAAAGCATTTCAGAAAAATTAAACCACAAGGAAAGCATCAGAGAATGTCGGTGTACATCTGAAGCTTTTATCCAAAGCGACTTAGAGCAGAGGGAAGAGTTACACTTTATGCTCACTCCCTGGCATCTGAAACCATGACCTTTACACCTTAACATCTGCGAGTCCAAGGCCATCTCTCAGGCCAACCATGCATTTTGCAAATGTGAAATATGCCTTGAACAGGTAAAAGTAAATGTATTTGATTTTGACAGATGTGTGTTTCAGGACAGAACTTTAATTAGAACAAAGATAAGGAAGCCGCAGACCTCGCCGCCTCCGCAGGCCCAGCATCTCGCTCACTTCCTCCCTTCAAATTGGGACACTTACAGATGACAATAGAGATGTCAAGGTGGGGAACCTTTGGTCCCCACAATGTAACATAAACATAATTCTCTCTCTCTCTCACACACACACTGTCACGCCCCGCTCCGTCCGCTCCTAGTGTGTGCCACGTCCCCTCATTATCCACGTGTGCTTTCCCGATTGTGCCCAGCTGTTGCCTGTTCTGTTTACGTAGTCCTGTGTATATTAGTCCGCGTCTCCCCATGTATGCCAGATCCAGCATTGTATTGTCGCGTCTTGTCTCGATGTCCGTGCCTGTCAGCCACCCGATCCCCATTAAATCCAGTTTGTCCGACTTCTCGGCTCAGCTCGTCTGCTTTCCTGCTCACCTGCCCGCCGGTCGTGACACACACACACAGAGATATATATTATGTATGTATGTATGTAGGGGGCAGTGGTGACCTAATGGTTAGGGAAGCGCACTTGTAATTGAAAGATTCGAATCCCTGACCAGCAAGGTCCCGCCCCCAAGCACTGCCCCCTGGGCGCTGAATTAGCTGCCCCCTGCTATGTCATGATGTCACATATGGGTTAAATGCAGAGGACACATTTTATTGTTGTGTGCTGTGGTGTGTCAACAATGACCACTGATCACCTAATTCTAATACTGTATCACCTGAGAACTACTGTCATATTAAAAAAAAAAAACAGAAATATATACATTTAAATCTGTTTGTGCTGCCATGAAATTTGAGCAGAAAAAAAGGCATTTGTGTCTGTTTGCATGTGTTTTATGGGGAAAAAATTCTTCCTGTAAGTAACATTTTTGTAGTCTCTTAGTGCAGATTGAGTAACTTTTATGCAGAGAAATCTAACCTAAAAATAAAATAAATAAACTCCACTCTGTCCATCATCTCTCCGCCCCGTAAACAGCCGGTTTGTGTGATTTTGATGTGTGTACTGGCTGGATGTAAATATTTGATTTTGACAGATGGCCGTCGGACTCGAATCGCGTCGCTCGGATCCTCGCTGCATTTCTGCAGTGACCCCCGTCTCTCGCTCCCTTTCTTTTTCAGCACCTTACCAAGTAAACGACGTTCCTCGCTAGCGCGTGAATTTCCCTGACTGAAGAGGTGGTCCTGGACAGCGCTGGCTGGCAGGGGACGGAAACCAGTGAGTGTACGGCGGCCGGGGAGCGGCCATTACTGCCGTCGGCTCGCTTTTTCTCCTTTACTTGGGGACTCTGCCTAGAAACACGCTGATTATATTTGCTCAGCTACCCTCGTTAACTTAACGCTGCTCTGTGGGGCAGCGCGCTCTGCCTATGGTCAAATGGATGCTGGGTCAGGTCCAGTAGCGGCCAGAGCGACTTCCCCATTGGGCTCCTGAGCGAGGCCCTTAACCCCAATTGCTCCAGGGACTGTCTGACCCTGGTTTCTCACAAACGTTTGCCAATTTAGATAAAAGTATTTGCTACATTAATAATAATAAAGAGGGTGTATATTTATATCTTGAAGTATGTGTTTACAGCATCTCCCCCTGCCTTTCCAAACAGAAGCGTGACTCTGCTCAGACTCCCCTGGGTGGGAGGGGTTAGCATTGCAGAGTCACTATGGGTCTCAACAGGATAAGCTGACCATCCGTCTGCCTTGTTTGCGCCCCCTGCCAGCCCAGCGCAAACCTGCATCGCCCCAGCTGTGGCGTGCTCGTCCACAGCCCAGGCTTAGGGCGAAGGCAAGGTGAAAGGCCACCAAAACGTGACTCGTCCAACCAGACAGCACACAATGTCACTGTGACTCCTCTCTGATGCCTCTCTGACTCAGGGTCATCTACCCTCTACTCGGTGGGAGGGTGAAGGACGGCGTCACTTTTTCGCTCACGTCGGCCAGTGTGAGTCCACGTTTTGCTCTATTCTGGGCTGAGTGCGGTCACGCATGTTCATCCAGGTAACTCGTGCCTCGTGAGTTTGTCCTCAAACCCTAATTTGTGAGTCAATCAGTGACCATTACAGTGTGTACAAACAGCATCGGTAAACAGGCAGGGTGCAGATTCACGGCTGCACACAGCACACACACGTCATTATTTTTCGACTCTGTTCTTCGGTTTTTCTAATGGTTGCCCGGCAACATCCAAAGGACATGACCCCCCCCATGCCTGGCAAGCACAGGTACATTTAAAATGTATGTCTGTTTCACCACGGAACTCAGCAGCGACAGCAAAACACAGACCACCTGGGCATGTGCCAATCGCCTTTAACTCTGTGTCCCGGTTTAGTTGCAACAACTTGGACCCGCTCCAGCTGACTCCAGTGATGCTGGCTCACTGGTATACAGGAGTCAGGACCAATGCCAGCTGATTACAGTGCTGATCTCTGATTGGTGAACAAGCGTCTGGACATATGCCGGGTGACTCTAGTGCTGATTTCTGATTGGTGTACAGGAGTCAGAACCCATGCAGGATGACTCCAGAGCTGATCCTTGATTGGTATACTGGAGACAGGACCTATGCCAACTGACTCCAGTAGCGATCTCTGATTGGTGAAAAGGAGTTAGGACAGGGGTGGCCAATCTTATCCGCAAAGGGCCGGTGCATATGCAGGTTTTTGGGATAACCTGTAGGTCAGCTGTTCAAACCCAGGTGTGAGGACTCTTCAGCCAATCAGTCCTCTAATTAGTAATCTAATTAGGGAGTTGCAGCAAAAACCCGCATACACACCGGCCCTTTGCGGATAAGATTGGACATCCCTAAATTAGGAAAGGAACCGCAAAGCGGGACGTGCGAGCTCACGTTCAAAGATGGCGTCGAGGTGCGG